GTGAGCTTCTTGAGCCTCCTCTTCCTGCTCGTCGTGCCAAGCAGCAGGTACGGCGTAGAAGCGCAGCACGTTCTTGTTGGGATCCTTTAGCAGCACAAACTTGCTCGTCACGCCTTGCCCATCCCTCGAGCTGGCGTGCTTGCGAGCCAGATCCGCAATCGTTCGAACGATGCCCCACCCGTTGGCCAGGTTGAGATTGATCTGCGCTGCAAATTCCTTGGGCTTGTACCATTGCGTTCCCAAGATGACGTGTCGCGAAGTGTCGCGAGGTGTGGCTCGAGAAATGTATCTGCGTCGAGTGGGGGGGTATGCAGGACGCGAATCAGAACTGTTTGCCCCTCATCCACACGCTCGCTCGCTCGCTACTCACCCCATCTTCATATTGTCAGCGCCCGCAAGGATGCTCTGAATGGCAAAGCGCGCAAGCTTGGCGCTATTGTTCTTCATCTCTGTAGCTACGACTGCGCCTCTCTGCGAATCCAGCTTGGTCCTCCAATCCGGCGCACCTCCAGCACCAGGAGCCTTGCTGTCAAACTCGTTGAGCGTCTTGATGGTGATGAATTGCGGCGCAGCGCTCTTGGTCGCGCCAGGAATGAACGCGTCCACCTCTGTGCGCAGGTAGATCTCCACTTGCTCCTCTGAGCTTGCGCTGACGTCGAATTTGCGGTAGCGGTAGCCGCACGAACCCAGTCGCTCCGTCTCTGCGCTGGAATCGTAAAAGGGATTCGCTCCGCCAGCCAGCGTCTTGCTCTTTTTTTCGTTGACCACTTGGCTGGCAAAGTTTTGGTTGATGTAGGTCGCTTCCAAGCTGAGATTGCCGGGCGTATTGATGGACGCGGCAGCCGTATTGTTGCTGCTCTTGTTGGCCGCATCCTTGCCCTCCAGCGCAGCCGCATCCGCAAGCTCCAAGGGAGGCTCGGCGGCGTTCTCATTGACGCTGACAAAGTCAAAGGCGCCTCCTTCGCGCTTGTCGAGGAACACGTTGCCTTGAGCGTCTCGAGTAATGACGAGATCCCAAGGGTAGACGCTGCGAGTGGCGCTCATGAGCAGCGCGAGGATGCTGTCCGTCGCAAAAATTCGCACGGGCGCTGATCCTGCATCCGCCGCCGCCTGCGAGGGCTTGGCTGCCAGATCTGCGAGGATGGGGTCGTCGCGCGTGCTGGGATTGTAGCGCACCCGGTCGATTGGCTGCAAAGCCTTTTCGAATCGAACAGAAGAGATGCGATCGTAGCTTCGGTCGTACTCGTACAGCGTACCGTGGGCGGACCTGTGCATGGAGGGGAGGGGGGTTCGAGTGAGAAGGCGCAAAGAGGGAGCAGAGTGAGAAGGAACACTGGCGCAGGCGATCCCCCGCGCACACCCGCGCACACCCGCGCACACCCGCGCACACACACACACACACACTCACAAATCCTCTGGATCCTCGACATCGAGCTTGAGCTTGGCCAATCGGGAAAAGTCGATTTCCTCGAGCTGCTCCCAGTCGTCGCCCACATCGACAGACGGCTCGCGCGTACGTTGAGGCTTGTCCCAATCCCTCCAGCCGCCGCGACGTGCAGCTCCACCAGGTCCACCTCGACCGGCAGGACCGCCTCTGCCAGCACTGGCACCGCCTCTTCCACCACGAGCGCCAGCAGCCACATTCCTCGCCCCGCCTCGCGCTCCACCTCTAGCACCACCGCGACCGCGGGAAAAGGAGGTCAAGCCACCGCGAGATTTCGTAGTCGTCTTTGCATTGTCCACGACGCTAAATGTGGCCTCATCTTCGCCATGAAAGTAGGCGAATGCGGAACCAGCATTTGCGCCATACACTTGGGCTGTGCCTCCGTCCCTTCCGCCTCGACCCGATCTTCCACCGCGCAAAGGTCTGTCGCCCGCAAGGGAACTTGCGTCTGCGCTGGAATTCCAATCAGCGATGCGGCCAATCTTGTCCGACTGGGCGGGGTGTGTTTGCAATCATCATCAGCATGTGCGCAGGTGAGCGCAGTCACGTGCATGATCACTGCCCTCCCCCACCCCCCCAAGTCTCTCACCTTTGCAAAGGGCACAAAGGGAATGTCTCTGAATTCGGGAGGCAAGACGGATGCGGAGCTGGAAGCGGAGGGAGAGAGTGTTGGGCCGTGGCCGTTGGAGCGAGAGTCGCTTGCAGAGGTGGATGTGGCAGAGGCATCGGTGGTGTCCTGGACTGCGGGACCCCAATAGCTGGGAGTGTCCTGCACCACTGGAAGCGAGAACGACGCCATGGTGTGGGTGTGTGTGTGTGCGTATGCGTATGCGTATGCGGTTGTATGGGGGTGATGGTGGTGTGTGGAGCGATGAGCTGCTGCTGAGAATTTTGACGTGCAGGGCGCGCGGACTGCCACTCACGACTCACGACTCACGACTCACGACTCACGGCTTCTGGAGAAGAAGGCGCGTTGCGTTGCATGTGGGCGGGACCATCGAGTGCCACGTGGCCTGGCGTGCTGTGTGCGTACAGTAGCTGTACGGCGTTCGCCCTGCCGTCTTGTCAGATGGCATGGCATGGTCCGCACGCACACGCACGCACGCCGACCTCCACCTGACGAGGGTGGGGGCGGGGCGGCTACCGACAAGCACAGGTACACTCACACTCACAACAACTTGTGTGACTGCGACTGATGGCATCGCCTAGCGAACATCGCACACACCACACCACACCACACCACACCACACCACACCACACCACACTCACACTCGCGCAACATGACATGGCACAGACTCGTTCGATTCGTAGCCAAGGAGGATGGCAAGGCGTACGTGGGAGTACCTCGAGTCAGCTCCTCATCGCAAGACATTGAGCAGCTGGTGCGAACAGGCCAGGAGCGGGTGAGGGTCAAGGTGATTGCAGCAGCAGCAGGAGCGGATGAGTGGAACATCGAGAAGATTCTGAGCGCAGCGCGGGATGCGGGGGACGCGGGAGGAGAGGAGGAGAAGACGGTGGATCGATTGCTGCCTTGCGTGCCGGCAGAGAGGATCCCGGCATTGAGGGCGTTGGGGGCGAATTACGTGCAAGCAGGTCAGGATGCCGCACAGGCCAAGGCCAATCGACCCGCCATTCCCATTCTCTTTTTCAAACCTCCGCGCACCACCGTCGTTGGACCTGGCGATGCGATACGCGTACCCGAACAGCTTGCTGATCAGACGGACTACGAGGTCGAGTTGGTGGTCATCATTGGCGCCAAGTGCAAGGATGTAAAGAAGGAGCATGCCCTCGACTATGTGCTGGGCTACACGCTGGGCAACGATGTCAGCGCCAGAAAGAGAATGTTTCAGGTCCCACAGTGGGGTTTGGGTGCGTGTATGCGTGTATGCGCTCGTGGGTGTGGCAACACGGCCACCGCACATCTGACACGCTCACCCAACCGCTCACGCCATCTCAGGCAAAGCAGCCGACACCTTCTTTCCGCTCTCTTCTACCATTGTGAGCACATCGCTGGCGTCCGCGTCCCTCCCCCCGATGCGCCACCGCAGCAGCGCAGCCGCTGAACCCACCTTCCCCCTCCCGTCTCGCGCGCAGGTGTCCAAGGAGCTGATTCGCAATCCAGAAGACGTGACGCTCAAGACGCACCTCAACGGCAAGGAGATGCAGAACGGCAATACGCGCCATCACCTGTGGAGCGTGGCAGAGACCATCGAGATGCTATCTCAAGGCACCACGCTCTTGCCAGGCGATCTCATCTCCATGTGCGTCGCCGTTGCCGTTGCCGCGTGGGCGCATACACGCTAGTCGTAGCCTCCTCGGGCGCAGTCACTGACCCCCCCCCCCCCCCCCC